GTGAGGGTCTGGTCCCTTTATTCTAAATTATTAGAAGTGAAGCCTTTGAGTTTAGTTTACCCCTTTCACTTTCCTACCCTCAAGAACCCATTTTTCAACAGTTTCCGTACTTCAAACTGAAACTTGCCTGGCTGTGTCCTTGAGTGGAGGGCCACCAAGTTCTGCGGGTTCACGGAGAACCTGCTAGCACCACGTGGCCCTGCCTGGCTTAGAGGTCACACCAGGTATGTGATTGGCGAGCTGGGGGAACTGAACATGCACAATCTAGCTCCACCCTCCCTCCCGAACCTCAGCTCTTGGATGCCCTGTAAAAGTCAGTGTTCCTAACAGTGAATTCTCTTGGGTGGGGTTTAATTGCCATTAGGCAGTCTTACATACTTGTATTTAAAATATACAATCTGTTTTAAATAGTTTAAATTTAATGAAAAAAAAATCAGGGGCTAGGAAAATGGCTCAGTGTTTGCTGAATAAGCATGAGGACCCAAATATGAAACCCAAGACCCACAAAAATGCTGGTCTCTTCCTTTTTTATTTATTTATTTATTTTTATTTTTTTATTTTTAACGAGACAGGGTTTCTCTGTATTGTTTTGGAGGCTGTCGGTCCAGCCCGGCCTCAAACTCACAGAGATCCACCTGCCTCTGCCTCCCAAGTGCTGGGATTAAAGGCGTGCACCACCAACGCCCGGCTGGAAACTAGGGATTTTTAATATAAAATAACATAGAAGCAACCCGAGGGAGTATTTGCTTCCCTCTGAAACTTCACAAGCCAGGCCTCTGTCACCTGCATTTCCTTCTGCATTCTTATCTTCCAAGTTCTGAGCACTCAATAACATTTCTGGCCTCATTCAAAGTCCTTAAATGAGCCTCCACAAAAAAAAAAAAGCCTGTCCCAACAATATTTCCTGACCCTGATTCCAATTTCCATCTTAGTTTGCTTTCCAATGCTGTAGTGAAGATCTTGACAAAAAGCAACTTGGGGGCTGGAGAGATGGCTCAGAGGTTAAGAGCACTGCGGGTTCTTCCGGGGGTCCTGAGTTCAATTCCCAGCAACCACATGGTGGCCCACAATCATCTGTAATGAGATCTGATGCCTTCTCCTGGAGTGCAAGCATGTACACAGATAAAAAACTATATACATAATAAAATAATTTTTAAAAAAAGCAACTTGGAAGGGAACAGATCTAGATCACAATCTACCATAAGAGAGGGCAAGGCCAAAAGACCAAAAACTCAAGTGCTGGGCAGGAACCTGGAAGCAGGAACTGAAGCAGAGACCATGGAGGATGCTGCTGAATGACGACCTGCTTTCACAGCTTGCTCATCCTGCTTTCTTAAATGACCAGGACCACCCGCCTAGAGGTGGCACCGCCCACAGTGGGCTGGGTCCTTCGCCATCAACCATTAATCAAGAAATGGCCTACAAGTATGGCAACAGGCCAATCTGATGGAAACAATTTATCAATTGAAGTTATCTCTTCCCAAATGACTCTAGCTTGTGTATAACCAGCACAGCAGCTAATCATCATAACTATAAAATAGAAATTACTAAAATCTTGTTAGCACAGTGTCATATGTGGTATAACATACTGCATTTCGTTATGTGCAACAACATAGGCAAGCCTCATGAATATAGCATTGAGGGAATGAACCAAAACCAATAGGTTCCATTTATATATACTTCAAAACAGGCAAAATTCCTGTACGTACTACCAAGTCAAGACAGCTTGACTGTGGGGGGCTGGAGAGACGGCTCAGCAGTTAGGACTGTTTACTGCTCTTACAGAGAGCCCGGTTGTTCCAAGCACCCACATGGTGGATCACAACCTCCTCCAATTCTAGTTCCAAGGAGGATCTGACGCCTTCTTTTGACCTCCACAGTCACCTGCACGCTCATGATGCACATAAACTCATGAGGCACACACACATCCCAATTGATTCATCCATCTATTACTTTTTAAAGATAGTGGCTATTTTGTTTACAGCTTAGGCTGGTCTCAAACTCTGCATGTGCACCATGACATGTGCACATACAAGTTTATATGTATGTGTACTTACATATAAATGAATATATGCAATAGTTTTTTTAAGATCTAGGAAAAGTGTGGTTCAGTCATAGAGCAGTTGCCTATCAAACTCCAGTACCATGAAAAATAAACACAAAATCTGAAAAATGTCCATTAGAATTTGCACCAAGGGAATTAGGAATAATTGTGATGAAAGCAATACCTCTGGCCAGAGGGTGCAGATTATGACTGAAGAGGTCTGAGGAGCCTCTAGGACAGATCTAGCTAGAGGATCAGATATAAAGGGAGATATAATAAATTCTGGTATTGGATGCAGTTGGAAGTCGTTCATATCTGCAGGATGGGGGAGGTTTGGGTACATATGTACACTGGAGATGGGTTGAAGACAGAAGAAATAATTGAAAATACTGGGCAGATATAGTGTGTGATAGAGGGAGACTGTGAAGGAAGCGGAGGGAAAGATCCAACAGATAAGCAAAAAAAAAAATCGAGAAAGAAACAGAAGACTCTACTTGCAGCATTTTCTAACTTAAAAAACTTTTATCCTTGCCAGGCCTTGGTGGCACACGCCTTTAATTCCAGCACTCGGGGAGGCAGAGGCAGGCGGATCTCTGTGAGTTCGAGACCAGCCTGGACTACCAAGGGAGTTCCAGGACAGCCTCCAAAGCCACAGAGAAACCCTGTCTCGAAAAAAAAAACAAAAACAAAAAACAAAACAAAACAAAACAAAAAAACCCTTTTATCCTGCCGGGTGGTGGTGGCGCACACCTTTAATCCCAGCACTCGGAAGGCAGAGCAAGTGGATCTCTGTGAGTTCGAGGTCGGGCTGGACCGACAGCCTCCAAAACAATACAGAGAAACCTTGTCTCATAAAAACCAAAAAAACAAAAACAAAACTTTTATCCCTCTCTCCGTGCGTGCGTGTGGTGGAGGTAAGAGGACAAGTTGCAAGAACTGGTTCTCTCCTCCCACTATTTGGGTTCCTGGGCTGGAACTCACTAACTAAACCAGGCTGGCCTTAAACTTGTGGTGACCTGCTGCTGCTTCCTTGGTCCTGGGGTTTTAGGTGTGCAGGACCATGGTTGGCAAGGAGTCCTTTTTTTCTTTCATTTTCTAGAACAACTGGTTCTATCTTTCGGTCTCTTCACCCCCCTCCCCACCTCCTGCCTTTGTCTGTATTCCCCAGGACTCCACACTTTTCCCATCTGCAGGACACCATCACCACTGACAAACTGATATGTCCAGTCTCTTTCTTCTGTCCAAATGCAACAGCCTTCCAGTCCAACTTGTCTGAAACTGAATTTACCATCTTCCTCCTTCCCATAAACCTGCTGTTTCCCTATGTTCTTCCTCTTAGTGGCACTATAGTTTACCCACCTACCGACAAGAGGCTGGGATCCCTAATAAGTCTACCTCCCTCCCCTCTCTTTCTGTATCCACTCAGCCACCAAGGTCCTTTCTATTTTCTATTTTCTTTCTTATCTCTATTCGTCTGACTGCACCTCATTGCACAAGTTGAAGCCTCGCCCATTTTTGCTTGCAAAAATTACAAAAACTTTGAGCTTCTAGCTCCCACAACATTCTTGCCAGCAAAACTAGCACAGGGCAGAATCTATGCCTGTAAGACAATTTCTAAACTCCTTAGAATGCCATTCAAGTCCTGTCCTGTAAAGGACTGGTGCCTGACCCTTAGCCAACCATATCACCTCCACCTCCTCCCTGCTTCGGCCCTTAAAATCTAAGAATACAGGGCTGAGGTTAGAGCTAGGTGGGACGGTGCTTGCCTAGCATGAGGGAGGCCATGAGTTCAATCGTTTGCATTGCACTAAAATAAGTGATGGTGGGAAAAATAGGGGTGGAGGGGTGGTCCAGCTGTTACGAGTCTACACAGCTCTTGCATAGGATCTGACTTTCACTCCCAGCACTTGAGTTTGACTCCTAGGAATCAATCATATTGGTGGAAGGAAAAAACCAACTTCTTCAAGTTGTCCTTTGTCAAACAGGCACTCCCAATAAATAAAAAAGGCTTCTTTGAAGGCTCTCTTTCAGAAATCTCATTAAAGCTATCTGTTTACCTGTATGCCTCATCCCAAGCTTTCTAAACAAACTCAATGTTCGTCTTTGTAATTCTTAGCTTATAACAGAAGCCCTGGAAATGTTTGTTGAATAGATCTAGTCATTTCTTCTTTTGCTTGGTAAATTTATAATTGCTTTCTTTTTCCTTTTTAAAAATACCTCTAGCCGGGCGTTGGTGGAGCACACCTTTAATCCCAGCACTCGGGAGGTAGATCTCTGTGAGTTAGAGGCCAGCCTGCTCTACAAGAGCTAGTTCCAGGACAGCCTTCAAAGCCACAGAGAAACCCTGTCTCAAACAACAACAACAACAAAAAACTCCAAACCAAAAAACCTCTAATTTTATCCCCCTCTGTGTAAGAACTTGCCACTAGCTTCTGGAGAACAACTTTAGCACAGGAGAAATCAGAATCAAAAGAGAGGAAAAGACACAGAAGGCCTCTGCAATGGTGCTGATCTGTCTGACTCTTCCCTATTTACTGTCCACAACTGAAGGGACATGAGTCACTACTGGCTATGGTAACACCTGTCCCCTACGGCCCTTGTAATTCAGGGAAAGATAAGTAAATCGTATGTAAGGAAGGCCACTCTCCTGACTCACACAGAACGAGTTCCCATAGAAAAGAGGGATACTGTCTCCCAAAAGATGAGTAAAAACCATAGTCATACAATTACAGCTACTGAAATCTGCAATGAAGGAGTAGTGTGCCTAGATCTCCTTGTTTCCTTCATCAGCTTGCTCGTGCTTAAAATCTATACCACAGTTGCAGATACTGTAAACCCTTTCCTGACTCCATAGCAAACTCTCTGTTCAGAGCATCTGTCATTTTATGCTAACAGTAGATGAAATGAAGTTAAACAAAGCATGGATTCAAATTACAGCTTTGCCACTCAGTAATCGTGTATTTAACCTCTTGGAAGTTTATTGGCTGGTTTTATTGTTTTTGCCATGCTAGGGATTGAACTCATGGCCATATGTACACATTGCACAAATGAACTATGCCCTCAACCCAGTAGCTCTTTTTTTTTTTTTTTTTGAAAATGAGGATTCCTCCCTCAACCTCAAAGAAGTGTTGTTAAGATTAAAGATGTCCCTGATGACTGAAGCAGGAGTAAGAGTTCATGACCAGCCTGGCCTACACAGGGAGACCTTGTCCCAAACCAAAGAACACAAGAGACTGGAAACTTCTGCTTTGTGTGAATTTGGGGAGCATCTCTAGAGAACCTAGTCATAAACATAAGCATCAGGCCACACTGTCTTCTTGGGACTTTTTTGTTGTTGTTTTGTTTGCATGTCTTTGAGACACGGTGTAGTGGTCTGTCTGAGATGTGTGGCTCCCAGTTGGTGGCACTGTTTCAGGAGGCTATGCAAAGGTACAGCGTTGCTGGAGGAAGTCCAGCATTGGGAGCAGGCTTTGAGAGGTTACAGCCTTGCCTCATTTCCAGATCACTTTCTGCTTCATGTTTGTGGTTTCTGAGGCTGCCTGCTGCCATGCTTTCTACACCATTGTGGATTCTCTCTCTAGAAACATAAGCAAAGGGAAAACAATTCTCCCACAGGCTTTTTTGGGTCATGTTTTATCCAATCAAGAAAAAAGTAGCTAATACACAAGGATTCAGAATTATAATAATATTCCAGCCTCAGTCTCCCAACTTCCAGGATTACTGGAGTGGGCCACCATACCTCACCAGTTTCCTTAAGACATCACTTAATCAGAGCTTCCCATTGAGAGCAGTACCTAGAACCCTGATGAATCTTGTCAAAGTTCTCATATGTGAACTGATCCTGGGAATCATCAAAAATTCCCAAGTGGTAATCCCTAAATATAGGGAGACCCAGAAATTAAATACACAATTGTTTCACTTCTCTTCTTTGTTCAATTTCTCAAATAGATGAAACTGTTTTTTTTAAAGTAGCCATGTATGATGTCATTACAGTGTATTCCATATTTATTACACAACTGATGAGAAAAACAACCTTTAGCATAAGAATGCCAATTTATCCCCCCACTCACCCACCCATCTTTTTGGACACATGAACACAAAACATCCCTGCAGGGCAAAAAATAAAATAAACATCATCATCTTATCTCACACAGGGATACAAACCCTTCCTTAATAGCTTAGAAAGTACCTCGTATTGCTAGAGACAGACACCCAGCCTAAATTAATAAAATACATTTTTAAACATTACAAGTCTAACCATAGAGAAACAACAAACCATGCCATTAGTCAGATGAACAAACACAAACATTTTCAGCCAGTGGACACAGAAAGAATATGAATATGTTAATAGCAAGGGAAAAGGAAAATGGTTGGCCAATAAAGATCTTTCCTTTAATTTTACAAGAAAAAATTCTTGGAGTTGAAGCAATATTAATACAATACCCTTAACCTCTGCTTTCTTAAAATGAAAGCTGAGCTGCCACCTTGCTAATGAGCAAGAGAATCTTACAGTATATCCACAGAGGGCAACTAGGGCAGGGTAGAGCGAGTAAGCCTTGTTAAAACAGTAGATTGCTTATTCCCATGGGAAGGAATAGGCAACTGAGCCAGGTGGGTAAGCTCTGGTATAGGATACAGGTTGGGCACCAGATCTTAAAATACAGACAATATAGAACATGCCTGCTTATAAATCATCACCTTTGGAAGCAGCATATAGAATTTACAGTAAGAATGAAAATGGTTTGCCTGTCCAGGTAGCTGGCTGCATCAAGCCAGCTGGTTCACTTTATAAACATCTCAGAATTCAACAACTAACAACAAAACATAATTGGTTCAACATTTGAGTCTTCCCCATTCTTAATGTCCTGTGCTCCCTAGCCCCCAACTGTTATTCTTTAGCATTGCTACACTGCAATCTTCCACACTACATGATAGTGCCTAAATAGGCTGCATTTAAGAAAACCAAACAGCCTAACACTACTTCTAGAGAATGCACACCTCCCATTGATTGACACATGCATAATAATTCAGTCAGTTTCGAGGGGGATAACTATTTGAATTGTCAACCCTAATTAAAACTATGCATTCAGATTTGCTTGTGATGGCATTACTGCAGATCTGATTCTGCAGGGATCACCTCTTAACTATTCATCCCTCAGCAAGTTTTTCCCCATCAATCCTAATTCTTCCATATTTCTCTCCATTTGTCCAACAACATCACATCCTTAATGGTACTGTGTTCCTACAAAAATTGACCTCCTGGCTTTTCTTCAACCACCATACTGATTGGTCCCAGCATACTAGGAGAGACTGAGGTGTTTCAGGCATTTTGTTCAGGTCAAGCATAGAACCAAACTGCAGGCAAGTGGATCAGGGCTTCTGGGCACCCAGCTTGCTCCCTGTTCCATCATGCAGGAAGATGACAAGAGTTTCTTCTGTGCATTGTTAACCAGCTGCCCAAGCATCCAGCCAGCTAGCCAGCCAAGAGTTCTTTCACATCACAGGCTCCAGATGAGTTCTCCTCCTAAAAAGCTCCTGTTTTTCCCCCCTCTTCTTCGGTCCAGAGTGGCCGTACTGAAGAGCATTTTCTGTGCTCTTCCTGAACAAGTGTGACTAAAAGTGGCAGCCAGCCATTCATCAACGTGTCCTGATTTGTAATATCCAAGTGAGGTATTTGCAAGAAAAAGGAGAATCTTAGGGAACAAGTATCTGCCATCTTTTCACTCCTGCCTACACTGTGCTTCAGCCAAGGGACTTGCTTTCCCCACTGTCTGCAGAGACTGAAGATGTCTACACTCATCATCATGTGCTATAGGACTTCATGGACATCATAAAACTCGCTTGGAGACCAGCTCAACCAACACTGGTGGCACCACTGAGAAATAGCACATGGAAATGTAAACATTAATGTATTTACAAGCTTGTTTAAAAGACTGAGGAGAACAGTGCTTTATATTGCTGGGACTTTGAAAAGAAGGCTAATTTAACAGACTTGGACCTTGAACCAACTAATGAGTTCAAGAGAACACCCTTCACCATCTGATCCAGTGTTTCCACCAACGGTTTCTAGATAGATGACAAACTGTTTTTAGAATATTGTGTCTGTCTCTTTCCCAGCTCCCCCCTCAGTCATGAGGAGTGTGGCTCTCCACAGAGCCTCTTACCTTTCACTCCTTGCCCTTCCAGGATAGAGTATAATGTGGGCTGGGAAACCCTGGGTGGAACTACCTAGAATATGTAACGCTTGTCCTTTACAAAGTATTATCTACAGTAAATATAGGATACATTTCCCCTGTGTTCTAATTGATGCTTGCTTTATGACAACTCCCGTTGTTGGAAAAGAAAAGGAGTCCTGCCTTCCTATGAGGGAATCCAGAATCTACAGGAAAAGAAAAAAAAATCAACTTCTTCTTCTACATAGTTGTAGTTGAAAAAGAGGAAGGCAAAACCAAGCACATTTCAGGCTAAAAGAAGAGCAAACAAATCTGTACTGCAAGCAGCTGTGTGTACAGCCTTGATTCCCAGGGAAAACAAGCTTTTTACATGCTGGTACTTTTTTTTTTCAAGTGCAGCATCGCTCAATATGCCTTATATATTGGCAAAGCTTGGCCAATCAGGAAACATCCTGGTTCCAGCTTATTTTAAAAGAAAAAAAAAGTGACAGGACACTGACTATGACCATAAAATAGGTTTAAAAAAACTCAAACAATTACTTAAAAGGGCATGGAAATATATGTCTTTATCGACTGGTTTCAGAATGTCCAGGTTATGTTATATTAAGAAATAGTTGATAAAAACCATATTAAAATTTCATCTAGAAAACTACCTCATTGGGGGAAAAAGGGGAGGGGCCTTTAAAAAATGCTTATTGCCAAAGTTAATTTTCTATGAGAGAAGTTTAAAAATCATTTACATTTAACAAACCACACAGCAGCATAAAATGGGCACTTTTGAAAACTTGGAAAAGTACTAAAAGCTAATTTTTTTCCAAATAGGGAGAACTTTTTACCATGGCAGTGTTATTTGTCCCTATGACACAAATCACATCTGTTTATGTCACATATTCACAAAAGCCAGCCACGTAAGAGAACTGCCCTGTTTGAATCTGCAGCCAAATATAGTGCAATTGCCGGGCAGTTTGCACTCCACAGCATAGGCCTGAAGAGATCAGTAAGATAAAGCAGTGAAAGCAATATGTAAAACTTTCAAAAATTAATGCACCTTAAAGGCATTTACAGCGGCAAAGTCAGAAATCTCCATTAGAAAGTCTATGAACCTATCCAATTAAAAAGTTGCATGGAAATGAAACAGGTCGTTTGGTTCTTCTCTCCCACTTCTGCATACACCTCGTTCAATGAACACAGGAAAAAGGAAATACTCCTCTTATAAGACTAGATGCGGTGAATACCACAGCTAGCAAAATAGCCCATAGAAATCCTTCTTGGAAAGTAAGTCCTTTAGAAAGTCAAGGCTCATCGGCCTTTGCACATTGAGGTAAAAATTTTGTCCAGTGCATCAGAAAACATAATCTATGAGTTTCTACTTTTTTTTTAAAATGGCTCGATTTTGTTGATGCATCAGTCAGGGCTGCAAAATATAGATTCAGTGCAACTAACTATTCCGAGCTGCTGGTAGGGGACCACCTGAAGTTAATGTGGCACTATCTAGAGACAGTAGGCATCTGAAACATTTGAGGATGCGTGGGATGCCAAATTGGTTGAGTTCTTTTCCAAGACTCTCAGGCAAAATACATAGTGTGCTGGGTATCATGGTGGATCTGCACAGCCTTAGCCAAGGCCTGAGGGTCCCGGCCGTTGCTCTGTCCTGACACATGACTGCCTTCTGCACTATAATGAGAACAAAACAAAACAAAAACGTGTTAAGAAACAACTTCAGTGTTTCAGGTAGGACAAATAGTACTGGATTCATGAACATCTTGGGCTCAAACCAATTTATGTTATACATGTTTGGTCAACTGAAAAATACAGTACAACTTATGTAATAGACAGCTGCAATAATTAAAATAATATTCACAAAGACCAAGTGTTAGATAGCACCTACATTAGGACTTCTACTGTCCCTTCTGTCTGGTCAGTTCCTACTCATCCTTCAGGCTTCAATTACAAGTCATTTCCCTCTTAGAAATCTTCCCTGACTCACAAGTTCAAGTCAGGGTCACCTAGAATATGTTCTCATAGACTATTGTGGTTTCCTTTTATAGTACTAGTACTGTAACCAACTGAAATTGTTAATTGGGACACTACTAGGTATTACTGGGTATTTTTTCTCCACTGGAATGAAATCTCTAAGAAAAGAGCATCCTTCTCCTCTTCCCCTCTTCCTCCTCCTTTTCTTCCTCTTCTGAGACAGGCTATTATTATGAAGGCTTCACTGGCCTCAAACTCACAGAGATCCACCTGCCTCTGCATATACCTCCATGTGTGGCTTAACTTTGTTTTTACTTGCTAACAATACTAGTTTCCTAAACTAATGAGTCTATGGGCCTAGCAGAGTGCTCATAACTCTAAACATCCATTTTTGGGTATCATGTAACATAGGCTTTGGCAAACCATCCCCCTTTTCAGTGCTGAGGATGCAATCTAGGGCTTCATGTATGACAAGCACAACACTCACCCCTGAGCCACACTTTGGCCTCTGACCACTTTTTAAATGCTGACTATTATCCTAATCACTTTTTTTTTTTTTTTTTGGTTTTTCAAGACAAGGTTTCTCTATGGAGCTTTGGAGACTGTCCTGGAACTAGCTCTGAAGACCAGGCTGACCTCAAACTCACAGAGATCCGCCTGCCTCTGCCTCCTGAGGGCTGGGATTAAAGGCGTGCGCCACCAATGCCCGGCTAATAGTGTATTTTTCAATCCCTTATAGAAATAGACTTGTAGTGGAATGTCTACTATTTAGCAACTGAATTGAGACTTGGGGAAGAGCCCAGAAACTGCTACACTTCACAGATGGCCACTTGGGAAAGAAAATAATGGAAAGAGATCCTTTAGCCATTTATTGGTAGCTCATTAACAGGTCAAAATGTTTGAGTTCCTTGAGATCCCTATCTTGGAATGAGGATAGTCACCCTTTCTGTTTCCCAATAAGCCCTGGCTCACTCTGGTCATCTCTGGATTGTACTGGAAGCAAAATGAACTAGGTGGGCCTCTCTCATGCATAAACTGAAATCCATAGGCTAAGACTACTCTGACTTGAGCCAGGGTGCTATGCTGGCCACCTTTTGAGGCTGCCTGGGACTTCAGCAGAACTGAAATTCAGTTAGCTCTATGTGAAAAACACAGGCAACTCCAAATGAGACTCCATTAGAGATACAAGTTTAAACACGCCTGAACTCTTCTTGGACCAAAAGTCACATTTAAAAGCTCTTGTGCGGTTCTGACTGTTCCTTGCAGGTTAAACTGTAAAAGGGTGTTTTAATCTTTTAAAGTTTTCTGTATAGCTTGCTTTTTTTTTTAAACATGCTTCCACAACAGGAAGATATTTTTATTGAAGAACTTGCCTGTCATGATCTTTATCCACCAAATGATACCTTGCCCGAAATGCTACCAGCCGGGCATAATAAGCAGGGGCAGGAATGGAGACTGAGCGTGTGCACCTCACGTAGGTGTGACAGAGCTGGTAAGTTAGCAGCTGAAGTTCATCTGCAGTGAAACAGTTGTCATCCCACAAGACCTGGTAATGTGAAGGACGGCTGGTTCCCTGAAGGGAGAGTTTTAGAATCAATGTATTTCAAGTAGGACTTGGCCAGCTAGGAGAAAAGAGGAACTGAAATCTAATTATTAAGCTCAACAGTATCGCTGTCTCACACACTTAAAAGCAGATTTCTGGAGCAAAGCAATTAACAAAGCAAGTATTCTGTTTAATGACAAGCTTCCTCAAGCTAGCTGCTGAACTGACAAATACCTCCCTATCAGGCCAAAGATCTGAACCAGCTTCCAAATTACCTGAATTCCTGCATGACTACAGAGGTAAAAGTCAAACTCGGATGGATGTGTGATGGTACTATCGACCGTAGTGCCTGCTGGGACATTGCCACTTTTCCCCACCTGTTAAAAAGATACGTAATTTAAAAAAAATACAATTAATCATCTGAGTAACAAGATGGTTTAAGGTCATTTTTTCCTTTGATGCATTAATTAGTAACAAGTTAGCAAACTGCTACTCTCAAAACTAGATTAATTCAAGGTGTTAAGTCAGACATGGTGATTCATACCTGTAACCTCAGCATTTGGGAGGTTGAGGCAGCATGATTGTTGTAAATTCAAGATCTGCAAGGTCAGCTTGGGCTTGAGACTGTGAGACCCTGCCTCAAAAAAACCCAACTTGGATCCCATTATTAATTTTCCTAAGCCCAGCCTTCCATCCTAAAGCATTTTCTCAAGCACGTCTCCAGAACCTCTTTTGAGGAATCCAAATAATGACTTTATTTATAGTTTTGTACAGCATTATTGCCACATATTTATAGATAACACTCTGTATGCAGAGACGGGGAAAACACTTAAGGAATGGGAATGTAGCTCAGTTGTAGAGTACTTGCTTAGCATGAACATGAGTAAGACCCTGGGTTCAATCCCCAGCACTGCAACAAAGAAAAAAATACAAGATAAACTTCCCCAGAAGAAAGGATTTTCATTCCTCACTTGAGACAAAAAATAACCACAGCCACCACACACAGCTTTCACTAGAAGATAAGATGAAAATCTAACTGGTTAACCAGGCTCTGCAAAGCTCATACCCTCATGGGGTCAGTCACAGAAGTTCCCAGCAGAGGATTTCCTACTGAGATGGACACTGAGAAGAAAGCTCAGACACAGGCCAGTCCTCACAGCCACACACTTTGAACAGAGCTGAATATCTTTGTGCTTCAGTCTAATCATCTATAATATCTGGTGATAAATTTTTGTATTTCTTCCACAACCAAAACACTAAAATCAAACTTTTAGGAAGGCACAGAGGGGGTCTCTGGAAATGCACTGAACAGCAACAGAATCAAATCTTGTTACTCAGTCTGTGTCTTCAGCTGTTCAGTAGAATTTAATATGAGAAAGTTTAATTAGCAAGAGACATATATTCCCATGAGACTTATTTGACTCCTTTCTAACTATTCCTTCCAGCTACGGATCCCATAAAACTTGGAGTATGGAGAATTTTTCCTCAAAATTCATATTAACCTTGGGTATCTAGCCAAGCTAGAGAAAGTATAACCAAGTCACAGTAGCTCCTGTTTATCTCAAGTTTTGGCTTCAGTTACTTGTAGTTAATCAAGGTCCAAAATATTACCACAGCACAATGGGAAATGGAGGTATTTTGAGAGTGACAATGTTCACATAGCTTTTTGTTATCTCTGTGTTTGTTTGTTTGTTTGTTTGTTTTTGAGAAAGGATCTGTTATGTAGCTTAGGATATCCTGCAACTTAGTTTGTAGACCAGGCTACTCTTCAACTCACAGTAGTCAGTCTAAGTGCTGAGATTACAGGTTTGAGACAGCATGTCTGGTTCACATAACTTTTATTATAGCTTATGACTCTTTTATTATTATTAACCTCTTAGTATTCCTAAGTTATAGTTTAAATGTTATCACAGGCATACACGTTTAGAAAAAAAATTGTGTGTGTGTGTGTGTGTGTGTGTGTGTTTTCCAGGCATCCAAAAGGGAGTCTTAGATCCTTCATGAATAAGAGGAACAAGTACATAATAGTCTAGCATCTTTCCTAAAAGTATGTTATTTAAGAATATTAGTTTTTAAAGTGTGCTTAAATGTTTTCTGTCAGATTTGAAGAATGCTGCAATAAACCAGTTTTTACGGCTTTTTTTTAGAGGGTGAAATCTAGCTCAATGGTATAGCATTTGCCTGCTCTGTGTGAGACTGTGGGTTCAAAGTCCAGTAACGCACACATATACAAATACATACACACTTTTCTAATGTGTAATTTCTCAAAACAACTATTTAATCAAGTATAATCTTTAAGAAGATAATAAGAAGAGAGGGCATTTCCAATCTTATGTAACCACAGAACCCTCTTTTTTAAAATATCATTAAGGATGTTGACTGGTGATGCACGCCTTTAATCCCAGCACTTGGGAGGCAAATGCAGGGGGATCTCTGATATTGAGGCCAGCCTGGTCTACAGAGTGAGTTTCAGGACAGCCAGGGATACACAGAGAAACCCTGTCTTGAAAAACCAAACCAACCAAACAACAACTCCCCCCCCCAGAAAAAAAACCAACTCTAGGATTCTACGGATGAAAGCCTAAAGCTATATATGATGCCTGGAGGAAATAAAAACCAGACACACTGAACTCAACAATTACTGCTTGAGCACCCAAGCTAGGCTTTGCAGTAAATGTTGAGTCTAAGAGGCAGAGGCAGAAGCCGGGCGTTGGTGGCGCACGCCTTTAATCCCAGCACTCGGGAGGCAGAGGCAGGCGGATCTCTGTGAGTTCGAGACCAGCCTGGACTACCAAACGAGTTCCAGGACAGCCTCCAAAGCCACAGAGAAACCCTGTCTCAAAAAACCAAAAAAAAAAAAAAAAAAAAAAAAGAGGCAGAGGCAGAAAGAATGAATGAATTTCTTTCCACAATGCAAGCATTTTAGTGCAATGTGATACAGGTAGATGGAAGGCACTGGAAAAGCTGGTAGGGATGGATAATTACATTATGTCTTATAGGTTACGTAGGAGTTGAAAAGGAAGGTGAAGCCTGGTATGGTGGCACACATCAGTCCTCTCAGCACTCAGGAGGCTTATGAGAGAAGGGTGCAAGTCTGAGGCCATCTTAAGTCACAGGAAAGCTTTGTCTCTAAATAAATGAGTAAATAAAATGGCATAGTGACTGAAAACACTGTAAGTACCCTAAATCCAGAAACATATGAGTAAACTGTAGCCCATCCATATTAACACATCTGAACTCAGCAATAAAAAAGAAATGTTACTAATACACATGACAAGGGTGATACTCTAATATCTAAATAAGAGAAGCCAAACTCAAAAGCTACATGTTTCTATTAATATATATATGACACTCTGGAAAAGATAAAATTATAAGCTGGAAATTCCTATCAATTTTGCCAAATGTTAGAGCAAAGGTTAAGTACAAAAGACTTTTCAGTGACGCAGACCTGTAAGCCTGCCCTCTCGGGAGATGGAAGCAGGAGATTTCCAATTTAAGGCTTTCCCAGGCTACAGAGTGACTTTAAGATCAACCTAGGCAATTTGGTGAAACCCTGTCTCAAAATAAAAGGTAAAAGCGGGGCAAGGGATATGGTTGAGTTACAGAGCACTTGCTTATATGTGTGAGGCCCCAGATTCAATGTTCAACATCATTTAAAAAAAAAAGATTTGGTGCTGGGTGGTGGTGGCACATGCCTTTAGTCCCAGCACTCAGGAGGCAGAGGCAGATGGATCACCGTAAGTTCGAGGTCAACCTAGTCTACAAAGCTACATGGAGAAATCCTGTCTCAAACAACAACAACAACAAAGATTTGGTATAAACAGAATTACATGCATTTGTCTCAATCATCAAGTACAACTATATTCTAAAAAGGTTGAACTTTACCATATCTGTAGTATACCTTATAAACAATAAAAAGGCTTGGGGTGGATGTGCTCATTCCAGAGAGGAGAATGCAGTGGGAAATGGGAGACATAATGAAGTTACAGTTGAAGAAGAAATGAATACTATTCTGGATCCCCTGGGAAAACTTGAAGGAGCAAAGGAAGGTGTTTTGTAAGCAATGGAGAGAATGTGAAGACTTTTGAGCAGTGGGATGTGCTTTAGAAGCCAACCCCTGATAGCAGGATGGAGGAGAAATGGCAATGAAAAGACTGCTTGGGAATCCTGGCATGACTGACAAGTTCTGCCTAGGGTAGTAGAAACACATGAACTTGAGGTGAGAGAGATTTGGGGGCAGAACACAGGGGACCATTTGACAAACTGGACATGGCAGGGAAAATAAGGCAGGAGAAGAATTTTTTTTTTTTTTGGTTTTTCGAGACAGGGTTTCTCTGTGGTTTTGGAGGCTGTCCTGGAACTAGCTCTTGTAGACCAGGCTGACCTCGAACTCACAGAGATCCACCTGCCTCTGCCTCCCACGTGCTGGGATTAAAGGCGTGCACAACCAACACCCGGCGGCAGGAGAAGAATTTAAAAATGACCCTGAAGTTTCCAGCTTGGCTAACATAAAACACAGTGACGCTAAGTAACAGAATCTAAGGAGAACTAGGCGAGGTTTTGGATGGGGATTAAACAATATGTGGGAAGTTTGGACGTGTTTTGCTTGACATGCCTATGTAGACTGTATCACTGGTGCCAAATATTTCTGTGCCCTTCCCTGGGGAAGGATTATACAGTTCCACCCCGCTATTACAGGAGTGGCCATGTGAATTGCTTTGATGACAATATATGACACTTCTGGGCAGAGGCTTTAAGGCCAGCATATGGCCTGTCTTGTATCTTTTTTCCCTTCTGTCACAGTGACCGGCAAAGTTCCAGATGGACTCTGTCAACCTAGGTTCCAAAGAAAGGACAACTGGGTCACAGCTGCAGCAGGGTTACAGTGACTGTGTATTGTGAGCAAGAAATGAATCTTTTGTCAGCCACAAGGATGGGTTCTTTTTTTTTTTTTTTTTTTTTTTTTTTTTTTGGTTTTTCGAGACAGGGTTTCTCTGTGGCTTTGGATGCTGTCCTGGAACTCACTTTGTAGACCAGGCTGGCCTCGAACTCACAGAGATCCGCCTGCCTCTGCCTCCCGAGTGCTGGGATTAAAGGCGTGCACCACCACCGCCCAGCAAGGATGGGTTCTTGTTGCTCTCACCACCACACAGCTTGGGTTGTGGAAACTGATGTAACGAGCACAGAGCATCTGAGTGAACATGGCTGGTAGATAATTCAAAGTACAAACAGGAGTCTAATAGAGCAATTGAGGGTAGAAATATGGATTTGGTTGATAAGCAAGTGAGCCTAGAAAAGTGAACAATGCTAAAGACAGAGTTATTGAGGACAGGAAGAAGGGTCAATGGGGGACTGGAGAGATGGCTCAGTAGTTAAG